AGCACGCTTATCACACGTGTAGGGCTAAGTCCATCATTTTATAGCTTTTTGGATGGTAAACTAATATAATCGAAAATGGACACGGGTGATTACAGGTTGACGGAATAGCACATAAAAATGGATTGGCTCATGTTATGTCTAATTTAACTTATTTTAAGTCTAAAAATAAGTTGAATTAGGCTTAACATGAATCATGTTAAGTCAATTTCAACTTATTTTAAGTCCAATTTCATGTTAAGTCCAATTTGGTTTATATTAAGTACAATTCGGCTCATGTTAAGTCTAATTTGGTTTATGTTAAGTCCAATTCGGTTCATGTAAAGTCCAATTTAAATCATGTTAAGTCTAATTTAACTTGTTTTAAGTCTAATTTCATGTTAAGTCTAATTTAATTCATATTAAGTCTAATTTAATTCTTTTTAAGTCTAATTTAAATCATATCATGTCTAATTCAACTTGTTTTAAGTGTAAAAACAATTTGAATTAGACTTAACATGATTTATGTTAAGTCTAATTCAACTTGTTTTAAGTCTAATTTCATATTAAGTCCAATTTGATTCATGTTAAGTCTAATTTGATTCATGTTAAGTTTAGTTTGATTCTTGTTAAGTCTAATTTAGTTTCTTTTAAGTTTAATTTAAATCATGTTATGTCTAATTTAACTTATTTTAAGTCTAAAACAAGTTAAATTGGGCTTAACATAAATCATGTTAAGTTTATTTCAACTTATTTTAAGTCTAATTTCATGTTAAGTCCAATTTGATTCATGTTACGTCTAATTTAATTCCTTTTAAGTTTAATTTCAATCATGTTAAATTATTTTTAAGTCTAATTTAAATCATGTTAAGTCTAATTCAAGTTGTTTTAAGTCTGATTTCATGTTAAGTCCAATTTAATTAAACATAAAACAAATTAAATTAGACATAACATGATTTAAATTAGACTTAAAAGGAATTAAATTAGACTTAACACAGTTGCTACTTATCAAATTTTTTGGCGGTTTCTCCTTGGTGCACGTTAGCAGGCGATTTTTTGCCTGCTAACTTGCGCCCCCGTCTTGATTCAATGGTGAAAAAAAAGAAAAACAGCGGATCTGAGATCTTGAAGTCTGATCTAAGTGCCTCAAATTCTTGTGCGAAATCATCTGAGATCTTGAAGACTGATCGAAGTGCCTCAAATTCTTGTGCGAAATCATCTGAGGCTGGAGATGATGAAGGATTAAACCATGAGGTCATGGGATCTACGGGACCAAAGGGAGAGAAGAAGAAGTTACTGATGACAGACATCCTCAACTCTAGCAAGTTCGTGGTTAATTCTCTTCAACCTCAGAAATCTCCTGAGGTTTGTGGATTACAATCGAGGCAGCTCTGTAAGTCTTTGAACTCTGTAACTGGTGAATGTAGCTCTTCTCGATTTTCTTGGGCAGATGATCAAGAATCAGATATCTCTTTGAAGATTTTCTCAAATAATGATAAAACTTCTATGAAATTGGATTCCTTGACGAATCTAGATAAAATATCTGTGAATCTTGATAGGATAAACTCTGATCCGACAACAGATTTCTTGAATGGGGAAAATTTCCCTCCTCTTGAGAAAACAACTAAAACACCAATTCCTGATCCAGTTATGGCAAAGAAAAGTTGGACTAGTTTATTCGCTGAGAATAGAAAGCCTGGAAATGGTTTTAGCTTGAATTATGTGCCGCCTGATAGTAATGACACAGTTACTTTTGATGAAGAAGAATGGAATGAAGGGGAATCTTTTTGGAAGTTTTCCCTAATTGGGCAGATTTTGGGATTAAATGCTAAGTTCAAAGCAATGGAGAATTATGTGCAGAAGATATGAGGAAATTTGGCAGTGCCTGAAACTTTTCTTTTAAAACCTGGTCTGTTTTTATTCAAATTCAAGAACATAGAAGATATGAGGAAAATTTTGGAGCATGGACCTTGGTTCTTTGGTTCCAGGCCTATACTTTTGAAGCCATAGACAATTGATGAAGAACTGGAAAAGAGAACTGAAAGTGTTTACCCTGTCTGGATACAATTAACAGGCTTGAGGTTGAATCTATGGAATGAAAAGAGCATTAGCAAGATAGCTAGCATCATAGGTAAGCCAATTACCACTGATATGTTAACAGCAAATAGGCAAAGACTTGCATATGCTAGAGTCTTAGTAGAAGTGAATATGCCCTCTAACCTTCCTGATGTTATAACAATTAAAGGACCAGATGGGAAAAGTTTTCAACAGAAGGTGTATTATGAGTTTAAGCCTAGATGGTGTGAAATATGTAAAAATGTGAGCCATGACACTCAACATTACAAGAAACAGGCAAGAGTCCAGGTATGGAGGCCAAAACAGAAAACTGATATTTCAGTTAAAAAAACTGGTGTAGAATCAGTTCTCTCTCCTGTGCATATTATACAATTGAAGGATGATGGGATTCAGACTAATGTCTTACTTGGTCAGAAGCCTATACTAGATCAGCCTGTGTTGCTGAATTCTCAAACCCTTATGCATTGTACTGAAAATAAACAGGTTAGTAGAAATGGTGTTGGAATGAATAATGGTCACTTTTCAAATATGGTGAATCCTATGCAAGCTGAGCAAGAAAATCAAATAGGGAAAAGTGAAAAATCTGAGCACAGGAAAGGTTATAGCAGGAGATCTTGTGCATGTTGTGCATGTCTCACAGTCTGATACTGATACTCAAACACATTCTGGAAATCTTGTGCATGTCATGCATGTCTTACAATCAGAAGCTGATACTCAAACACAATTTGAGAAACCTTGGATGTTAATGCGAAGGGGTAAACTCTCACCTATAAATCCCTTCTCCCCTCTAACTGGAATAGCTTGTGATTTGGATCCCTCTACAATGGATAGAGGGGATAAAGCCAAATGAATATTTCTTTTTGGAATGTTAGAGGACTTAACAAGTCCTCCAAGAAACACATGATTAGACTGCATATTGCTCAGTATCACATTTCTTTTATTGCTTTGCTAGAAACAAAAATAAAGGAGGCTAAAATCCCAGCAATAGCAAAAAAGATTGCCTCTAATTGGAAATGGATTTCAAATGTATCAAGCACAGAAAAGGCAAGGATAATAATTTTATGGGATTCTGATATGTTGAATGTTCAAGTCAAATGTATCAAGCACAGAAAAGGCAAGGATAATAATTTTATGGGATTCTGATATGTTGAATGTTCAAGCTGATTTCATTTCTTCTCAGCACATTATGGGATTCTGATATGTTGAATGTTCAAGCTGATTTCATTTCTTCTCAGCACATTACCTGCACTGTCAATTCTAAGGATGGGAGGATAAATTGTATTTTTTTCTTCTGTCTATGGTCATAACCATCAGGATTCAAGAAAGATTTTATGGAATGAGTTGCTCCAAGTGCATCAAATCACTGGAAATACACCTTGGCTTGTTTGTGGGGATTTCAACACTATGATCAATAATGATGAAAAATTAGGAGGAATTGCTCTTACGTACAGATGCAGATACTAGGGATTTCAATTCTTTCATTAAGGACAACCATTTATTGCACCTCAAAACAGAGGGTTGTTTCTTTACCTAGAACAACAAGCAAGATCAGGACTCTAGGGTATGGTGCAGATTGGATAGGGCTCTTGTAAATGACTCTTGGATACAAAATTATAACTCTAGCCATGTTGAATTCTTGCTTCCTAACTTCTCAGATCACTCACCTGCATTAGTTTCAATATATAAGGAGGAAAAACAAGGAAAGAAGCCTTTCAAGTTTTTTAACATGTGGACTAAGTAACTACATGTCCACAGTATCTTCAATATGGCAAAGGCAGATTGCAGGTTACAAAATGTTTTCAATTGTTACTAAACTCAAGCTACTGAGGGGAGCTCTAAAGGAATTAAACAGGAAACACTATGGAAATATCAGTGAACAAGTAGTAAGAGCCAAATATGCACTGGAGGAAATTTAAAAAAAACTACAGGAGGACCCTCTCAACCATGACTTCATCAAACAAGAGAAAGATTGCTTGTCTACTTATAACAAACTTTTGGAATGTGAATTGTCTTTTTTCCAGCAAAAAGCAAAAAATCACTGGAGCATTAAAGGTGATAGATGTACAAGCTATTTTTATTTTATTATAAAAGCAAATAGGCACCAGAATAGAATACTGGTTCTTAAAAACAGTTTGGGTGAAAGGATTACAGAGGGAGGGGAGATTGCAAATGAGCTTATCTCTTATTTCAAGAACCTTTTGGGTACAGCAGAAACTACTCTTCCTCCAGATCTCAGGATCATAAAAAAAGGACCTTGTTTGAATGAAAATCAAGTTAGTAGTCTTTCTTTACCAGTTACAAAAGATGAGATAAAAAGGGCTGTTTTCTCTATGGTAGACAATAAGTCCCCAGGCCCAGATGGATATGGAGCTTCTTTCTTTAAATCAGCTTGGGGTACAATAGGGGAAGAAGTAACCCTTGCAGTTGAAGAATTTTTCAGCACAGGGAAAATGTTGGGTACCATAAACTCCACATCCATTACTCTAATCCCTAAGGTATCATGTCCAAACACTCCTGCAGATTTCAGACCAATCTCCTGTTGCAATTTCCTATATAAAATCATCTCAAAAATCCTTGCAAATAGGATTCAGTCAGTAATGGGATGTCTCATTAGTGAAGCACAAAGTGCTTTTGTAAAAGGAAGGAACATTACTAATAACATTCTGTTAGCTCATGAATTAGTTAAAAACTATGGAAGGAAGCACATCTCTCCTAGAATCATGGTTAACATTGACATTAGAAAAGCTTTTGACACTATTAATTGGAATTTTATAGAAGAGATGCTTCAAGGCCTGGGCTTCCCAAAGGTTATAGTAAGCAGAATCATGACTTGTATAACTACTCCAAAGTATTCACTATCTCTCAATGGCTCATTACATGGTTACTTTAAGGGTGAAAGAGGTCTAAGATAAGGAGATCCCCTCTCTCCATACTTGTTTATTTTGGGAATGGACTATCTTACAAGAAGTTTGAACCTTCTTGAGCAAGATGGAAATTTCAAATTTCATCCTAAATGTGGAAGGCAAAAAATATCTCACCTTATATTTGCAGATGATTTGTTACTTTTTTGCAAAGGTGATCTCAAGTCTGTTCAACAAATCCACCAGTGTATCAACAGATTTAGTCAGGTATCAGGTCTTCAAGCAAATCCCAATAAATGTGCTATCTTCTATGGGGGAGTAGATGATGCTATAAAGGAATCAATCCAGAATTACTTGGGATACACTGAAGGAAAAAATGCCAATAAGATACCTAGGTGTACCTCTTGTATGCAAGAGACTAAATTACCTGGATTGCAACCCTCTCATAAGCAGAATCTCCAGTCAATTACAAAACAGTTTGAAGAACAGAAAACTGTCATATGCTGGAAGATTACAGGTGATAAAAAATGTAATTCTGGGAATACAAATTTACTGGACTTCTATCTATGTTCTACCAGTGAAAGTGCTGCACAAAGTGGATGAACTTTGTAGGAATTTCCTCTGGGGTAAGGGTGATCTTACATTTAAACAATCACTGGTTTCTTGGGACAGAGTGTGCACAAGCAAATTGTACGGTGGACTGGGAATTTTCTCATCTACTATCTGGAACTTGGCAGTAGCTCTGAAGTTATTATGGGACATCCATGTGAACAAAGAGTTATTATGGATCAAATGGATCCATGGCAACTATCTAAAGCATATGGAAGTATGGAGAGTGGAAACGAAAGCTAGTGATTCTTGGATGTGGAAGCAGTTAATTAAAGCCAGGAATAAAGGCATTTCTCAATGTGGAGGATTGGAAAATCTGAAGAATCTAATCAGTTCTTGCTGCAGGAATTCAAAAATCAAGTTGTCAGATCTATATCATGCTCTATCTCCTGCTGTCAACAAAGTGCCATGGAGTGTAACTATCTGGGGGGGGGGGTTTAACCTACCTAAACAATCTTTTATATCATGGTTAGCAGTCCAAGATAGACTCTTAACCCAAGATAAACTGCTGCGGAGAGGGATCATTCAAGCAAATAGATGTTTTTTTATGCTCGGGAGCAGAAACAGAAAGTTCTAATCACCTGTTCTTTGAATGCAATTTTTCTAAAGAAGTTTGGAATGGGATAATGGAATGGCTCTGTTTTAAGTGGAGAAGTTGTGATTTAAACCAATTATTGAATTGGTATAGCTGCAACTTAAGGGGGAAAAGGTTCAAGCACAAAGTTAAAAGAATGGCATTTACATCCACTATCTATAATATCTGGATTGAACGGAATGGGAGGATCTTTAATAAAAAAAGCAGAGATATAATGCTTGTTATCAAGATCATCAAGGTGGACCTGATGACAGCCATTCTAAATAGTAATACTGCTGCAGAGAATAAAGACTGGATATTATCTTTATAGAGCAGGTTTTCAGCTTACTGTCAGGTGCTTGTTGACAGTGCAAAAATGCAAAAATTTGAGGAAGCTCACAGAAGAAATAGTTCCAGAGTCTATTTTTTCGACTGGTTAAGAGGAACTTAGCTTTATAACTATGCTCATACTTTCTATACTCTGTACATAATAGTTCACTTGAGCTTTAGATTTTAGGTTTTCTTTTGTGATCTCATACAAATGATGAGATGATTGATGTATATACACTTCACATATTGGTGGTGAATAAAATTTTTCATTTACCAAAAAAAAATGAATTAAATTGGACTTAACATAAAATTAGGCTTAAAACAAGTTGAATTAGACTTAACAGGATTTAAAGTAAACTTAAAAGGAATTTAACATGAATGAAATTAGACTTAAAAGGAATTAAATTAGACTTAATATGAACCAAATTAGACTTAAAATGAATCAAATTGGACTTAGCATGAAATTAGACATAAAATAAGTTAAAATAAATTAACATGATTCATGTTAAGTCTAATTCAACTTGTTTTTAGACTTAAAACAAGTTGAATTAGGCATAACATGATTTAAATTAGACTTAAAAGAAATTAAATTAGACTTAACATGAACCGAATTGGACTTAACATGAACCAAATTGAACTTATCATGAATCAAATTGGACTTACTATGAAATTAGACTTAAAATAAGTTGAATTGGACTTAACATGATTCATGTTAAGTCTAACTTAACTTATTTTTAGACTTGAAACAAGTTGAATTAGACATAACATGATTTAAATTAGACTTAAAAAAAATTAAATTAGACTTAAAAAAGTTAAATTAAACTTAAACATGATTTAAATTGGACTTAACATGAACCAAATTAGACTTAACATGAGCTGAATTGGACTTAACATGAACCGAATTGGACTTAACATGAACCGAATTGGACTTAACATGAACCAAATTGGACTTAACATAAACCGAACTGGACTTAACATGAACCAAACTGGACTTAACATGAATCAAATTGGACTTAACATATAATCCATTACACTTAATATTTAACAAATTAGACTTATTATTCAACTTAATTGACTTAACATACAATCCATTGGACTAATTATTCAACCCGATAGACTTAGCATACAAGCCTTGGACTTCACTTCTAACTCATTAGACTTAATGTTTCACCTTGATTTGAACTTAACATCAAAAATTATAAAAAAATTATATTTAGCCGGTATTTCTTTAAAATTTCATCTTTCCATGATATTTAAACAGAAATTATAAATTTCATTAGACTTAACATACAAGCTCCTTATCGTCCTCCTCCAACACTATCATGCTCCGCTTCCCAAAATACCGGGGAATCGGAACGTGAACAAGCCCGCGACGTATTAGATTAAGGAAATAAATAAAAATAACATTTCTCCTTAACCTAATACACTAAGCGTCAAGAAATAAATGCAAAGGCATAGGTCCCCGATCACAGTTAGCAAGAATATAATAGACAAACTCAGAACAAAATAATCCATACTATAAATGAATATAATCTGTGACATAATATTCGGGTCAAACATGCCCTTATACAAAATTGAACAAATGAATACCAGAGAAATATAAAATACATTGATCAACGAAAAAAAGAAGAACTACAAAAGTAACTAGGACCAATAACTAAGCTTCGGCTTCTTCTTCTGCTCTGTCCGCAAGGCACTCTGTTGAGAATACTCTGGCTCTGGCTTGTCTCCAAGCTGGATCTGTTCTTTCTCTAAGTCTGATGTACACCAGAGAAAATAGGTGCACGTCAACGTGCATGGAACACAAACAAGACCCCACAAAACAAATAGAGTGAACGAAAATCCAAGCGGAAAACGATACGATAATAGAAATGACAAAAGGACGTGCAACTGGAAATTCAACAAAATCAATCAAGTAATAAGTCGATCATGCAACTAGTGATCAAAACAATCATCCAAGTAACAAGGTCATACAACTAAATGGAATTAATACTTAAAAAATCTACAACAAGGGGTGTAGTACGTCGAGCGAAATAATCCAAACAAGGAAACCCTCATGTATATACCATATGTCTCAAATTGTAGATAATTAAATATTAATCCCGATCTATATATGAAAAGGAAATACAACTGGCCTACACCTCACAGGAATTCATACTTAGCCAAGAAACAAGGTCATGTAACTAGTCATCCTAAAACTCACTGGTCCACATCTCACATAAAGTCAACATTCATATCACCGGATAACTGATTGTTCACAAATCATCTACGTGCATCCAATACCGCTACACGAATCGGTCAGAGGACTACACGCAATCCGATCTTGGCCTGGTTCGAACTCAGGTAAAGCTCAGGTGACGAAACAGGTCACGGACTAAAGTGACTCCACGAATTCACTTTAACCCAACAAACCAACCCCAGTGACTACATGAATTCACTGGCGCGAGCTGGAAGATACATCAACAGTCACATCCAAGCACATGAACATTAACTTCCCCTTCCTAACTCTCCTCATTTTTCTAAATCAACAGTTATATTCCACACTTAAACTCTTGTTCACCACCTAAACTCAGTTAACATACCCACACATGTTACTAGGTCTGTTCATGACGTACGAGGTCACTAAGTCATGAACTACTAATGGTTCTCAAACACAACATGGACAATACATAGCAGACATGTCAAATACATTAAATAAATATAAAACGTGAAATGTGATCATAAGTAGTAAAACATGCATACAGTCCGGTTTTATCAATATCTTGTTATCTGAATCTCAAAACCACTCATAAAAATTATACGCAGCTAAATAATATCGAAAATAACTATAGTTAAAAGAAAACTAAAATCCATTATCGTTTTGCACATGAAATGTCGCAGTCTACAACTACTGACACAAAATCATAAATTAATTTAAAATTCAAAATAAATAATCCTTTTTGCAAATAAATTCCTTTAAAACATCATAATTATCAAAAATATAATTCTTTTATCGATATAACTTAACAACTCAAAATGATCCTTTTTCAAAATAAATTAATTTAAATTATCTATTTTAATGATTATTCAAAACCAACCCATTTTAGAAATAATTTCTTTCCTCATCATAATAATTCTAAAAAATAATCTTTAAATATATTCTTTCTTTTAAAAACATCTCAAATAACCACTTTTACACAAAATACTTATTCATTTAAATTACTTACCATAACATCATTATCAATATGATCATCAACAAGCCCATGCAGTTATCACAATATTCATTTAGTAACATAATCAAATTAGTCAAATTGAAGCATATAATTAATTCATAATATCTAAAAATTGGAACAACGAGTCAAAGAATATCAGGATCTTACCTCGGGTTGTGTCGAACGATTCAACGTCAATGGCGCAGGTCGTCGGAGCTGTTGGGGGCTGCCATCAGCGGGAGAGGTCACCGGCGACGTCAACGGTGAGGCGAGGACAGCGACGTGAAGGGGGCGGTGGCGCGTGATCTCCATGGGGAAGGAGAGAGGGGCGTGTCGGTGGGGCCGACGGCGGGCCGATTGTGTGGAATTCGTCGGCGTGCTGAGGCGAGCAGCAGCGGCACGCGGCTACGGAGGCAGGCTGTGGCCGAACTGCCTGCCTGAGTGGCGGGAGGAGGTGGTGAGCGTGTTTGGCACGGAGATGAAAGGCGCGGCGGGGTTTGCTCGAGTTGGAAGCGTAACGGGGCAGCAGCGGTGGCAGGCTGAGCGCGGAGGGAGCGACAAGTGGAGTGGCCGCAGTTGGCTCAGGCCGTGGACAGGGAGGAGAAGGATTGGATTGAGGAGGTGGGGCTTGGTTGAGGTGTCAGGTCAGGGACGAGTTGGGCGGACGCGGAGGAGCCAGGTTGGTTTGAAGTAGGAGACGGGGGTTGAGTCGGTGAACGGAGGAGAGGCGGTGGGATGGTTGCCGTGAGTTGGAACCCCGAGAAGGAGAGGAGAGGGTGAAGGCTGACGAGCGGAATTCTGGGTTTGGGAAGAAGAGAGACGAGGAGATGAGAGAGAGATGAGAGAGAGAGGGAGAGAGAGAGAGATGAGAGAGAGAAGAATTATCATATATATTAATATCATAATAATATATATATTATATATATTATATAGTATATATATATATATATTATATATATAGAGCAATATCGGGTATGCTTGGTACAAGCACAAAAGTTGATGCTGGTTCCGTATGTGTCCATCCCCGTCCACTCATTAAAATATGGGACCACATTCACATGGTAGCTGAGGGAATGGGATGTGACACATCACTACAAACATTAAAATTTGGTGCTTCGTACCAAGCAATACCATTTTCTCATATATAATAATATATATATATATTATATATAATTAGTATAGTATTAATATATATATATATATATATATATATATATATATATATATATATATATATAGAGAGAGAGAGAGAGAGAGAGAGAGAGAGAGGAAATTAGGGTTTCTAAAAAGTAATTAAAAATAATAATAACAATGAAAAAATTTTAATAATTACGTAAAAATTATCTACACATCAAAACGTACCAGTTGTAGTATTACAATCGATAATACACAATAGAGAAATAATGTAAGAAATTACACAATTAAACAAGAATAATTAATAAAAATATAATTACTTATATTTAAAATCAAATAATTATGGGATAATTATCCACACAGTAAAACGTACCAGTTATACTAATACGACAGATAATATGCAACAGAAGAAATAATACAACTAATTATACAAATAATACGTAATAATAGTAATAATACAACATATTATTTAATTTGATAAGTAATAGTATCCACAACACAACAGATTAATTTTAGAAATTTGTACTGCACTAAATAAATTTATAAATATTAAAATCATTTAAATAAATATAAAATTTAGACTTTTAAATCATAGGAAATTATTAATAAATAGCACCCTAAAAATTGTAAACAACCCCTAGAGTATGAAAATTGCAATTAGATCCTTCAAATTAAAAATACAAAAAACTCCAAAAAATTACTAAAAAGTAGAAAATTCAAATGTCACACCTTGCTCACGGATATGACCTAGTAGGAAAAAATTTTATAGAAATTTTTTTATAAAGTATCCTATAAA